TAATCAGGAGGCTGAAGCAGGAGAATCACTTGAACCCAGGAGGCAGAGGTTGCAGTGAGTTGAGATTGTGCCATTGGCACTCCAGCCTGGGTGACAGAGTGAGACTCCCATCTCAAATTTTAAATAAAGACCATGAAAATTAGGGGGAAAAACGTTCTGAAAAGAAAAATCAACAAAGCTCCCACTGGCGTAACAAAAAGGAGCAATGAGAAAAACAGGAAAGGAAAGTGAAGAGGTCAGTGCAGGGTGGCATTCCAGACTGGGACGTTCTCCAGAAGGGTAGGAGGTGAAAACGGAGAGGAGGCAATGGACAGACACACACAGTCAGGGAGTCACCAAGACCACCCTCGCTTCTGACGTTGACTGCAAGCTCAGGAGTCTCCAAGACCACCGTCAGTTTCAGCATTTGCTAGAAAGGCTCACAGAACTCACTAGGATCAGTTATTCTCATGGTTGTGGCTCATTATAGTGAAAAGAATCAGATTAAAATCGGCCCAGGGAAGAGGTCCATGGGACAGAGACCAGGAGAGTTCCAAGTGCCAGTTTAATACCTGGTAGAGCTGTCGGCAGCAATAACTTCTCCCAGCAATGATGAGTGACATGGTGTCACCCAGCAGGGAAGCCTACCTGAGCCCCGGTGTCTAGGGTTTTTAATAGGGATCTGCATGTAGACAAGGCTGACCGCTTGTGTGGTTTCCCTTAAATTCTAGCCCCTCCAGAGGTTAAGCTGATACCACATGGCCCAAAGCCACCACCATAAATCACCACTGTTAGCACAAACCATTTGATGTGGCCCAAGGTCCCAGCTAAACAAAGACAGTCTACTCAGGCTGGACATTCCAAGAACTCAAAGATTACCTCCCAGGAGTAAAAGGCAAAGGTGAGACTTCTATTTGGGTGAGGTTAATCCTTTACTGAGCAGACAAGAAAAATTCAAAGGGCCAAAGAGAGAAATGTGATTTCGATAGAAGAGCTTAAAGTAAGGGGAGTGAGAAAAACACCCATCTTGGTGCAATGTCAGTGCCACAGGGATGACAACAAGCCCCTCTGCCTTTACACATCATGGAACCAGGCCACCAACTGCTGGGGAATAGGATTTCGAACTAGTCATTCTGGGGCTAGAATTTATCATCTAATCTAATGTGAAGGTGGAAAAAGACATTTCAGATATTCAAAACACTGAGCTACCAAGCACCCTTTCTGCAAAAGGCACTTACGGATATACTTCAGGAAAACTAGAATGAAATTCAACAAAGAGGATGCAAGTTTCTCAAAAGAGGAGCCATATGAAGGAAGGTAGTGTGAAGACGTCAAAGGAGGACAGTACTGCAGCAGCCCAGGGAACAGCCAGTGTGTCCATGACTATTTAATAAATAGAATAGGAGCAAACTTCTGGATGATCTGGGTCCCATGGTGAATTTTTGTGGGTCACATAGTTTGAGAATCATCATTCTAGGAAAAACTAAAACCTTCATACAGTCAGGTCAAAGCTGAAATAAAACAAAAATGTGTCACGATATGAAGCAGTGTGTCCAGCCAGCATTTAATGATAATGCTTCACACGCCACTGGTTTAGTGAAATAAAAGTACATCTTCATTATGGATCCACAAGATGAATATTTCCATAACCTTAATATTATACATGGTCTATATTTTCACTTTCAGGCAGCACAAAGTATTACACAAAACAATTACAAAGGTTACCAATGAACAGTAAAAAATTGGCCAGGCGTGGTGGTGGCTCATGCCTTAAATCCCAGAACTTTGGGAGGCTGAGGTGGGTGGATCACTTGAGGCCACGAGTTCAAGATCAGCCTGACCAACATAGTGAAAACTGGTCTCTACTAAAAATGCAGGAAAAAAAAAAAAAAAAAAAAAAGCTGACATGGTGGCACACACCATTGATCCAAGCTACTTGGAAGCTAAGGTACCAGAATGGCTTGAATATGGGAGGCAGAGGCTGTAGTGAGCTGAGATCGAACCACTGCACTACAGCCTGGACGACAGAGCAACACCCTGTTTCAAAGGAAAAAAAAGCATCAGCATCTTCTGTGATGCTGTTTACAACAATGCCAAAGCTGACATTCCAACTTCACATGAGTAAGTTAAGGAAGTTTTCCCTACAGGATTCCGGGTGTGAGGCCCGCGCTTGTCTTCCTTACGGCGCCCCCTCCAGCACCCGGGAGATTGTGGTGACCACATCCCCGTTGCCATAACGGGGACATCCAAGCACAGAGGGTCGGGGCTTGCAGGGGGCTGCCCTGCAAAAGATTCCTGACTCCTCTCTTTCCCCGCAGTGTACCACTGGGTGGAGATGCGGACCAAAATGCGCATCATGGGCTTCAGTGCCGCTGCGGTCAAGCCGCTCAACGAAGGGGCAGCCGCCGAGCTGGGCGCGGAGCTGCTGGGCGAAGGCATCATCTTCATGACCGCCTGCAGCTGCCTGATGCTGGAGTACTGGCGCCACCAGTTGCAGCATCGCCGCAAGGAAAAGGAGCGACGCGTTGCCAGGGAGGAGCTGCGAGGCGAGGTGGGCCACTTGGGGCTGGCGCTCGAGGAGCTGCAGGCGCAGGTGCACGCGGCTCCGACGCAGCTCGCCCTGGAGGAGCTGCGCGCTCAGCTACAAGAGGTGCGAGCCGTGCTCTGCCTCCAGGACCTGCCGCCTGCCTCCCCGGCTGAGCCAGAGTCGGAGGAATAGGAGGCCTCGGGGCCCTGGTCTTGGTGGTGACCGCTGCCTGGACTGCAGTCTCCGAATTGGCCTCTTCTCCGCACTGTCACAACCCGGACCGGCGCAGCTGACACCACCCAGTCCTTTGAGGGCGCTGGAGAGATCCTGGACTGGAGCTGATCCAACCTCCCCTACTAGCCTGCCTTAGTGGTACCTTCTACTGGGACTCCTCTCTCCTGCAGGTGGAACGTTCCAACAAGGACCCCGCCCTTACCCCGCCCCAGCCAGCGCATTGGTTGAGCACTTTGGAAAGACAGCATCTTTTATCAGACCCCACCTCCCTACCGCTAGGTAGGGAAACAGGACGTCCCCCTTCTGGCAAAACGAAATTGGATTCTGCACCTGGATTTAGCCGACCTGTCATTCTGTCACCCGCACCTTCACTCACCTGAGTGGACCCTCCCCCTAGGACGTTCATTCTTTGCACCGAACACCCCCTACATCCTGATTGGCACAGACCATTGTAAAGTTCCTAAGGACTTCCTGCCCCGCCCCCTTCCATCTATCGCAGTCTTAGGGGGAAAGAAGGTGGGGGTGAATCCTGGACTGTGTTAGCTCCTATGAGTCACCACCCTGTGGCTCCTGACCTTAATCTACCATTAGTACCTGCGACTGGCACCCTCCCCTCCCTCAGTGGATCGTTCCAACAGCACACCCCCCCCCCTTCCTTCCTGCCTTCGGCACAACCCACTGGCATGGCTGTGCTGGGTCTTCCAGGGCAATGCCTCCCAGCCTCGCATTCTGTGACCACTGAATCTTGGGAGGAAACACCGGTCCTGAGTAGGGCTAATTCATTCTGCCTTTCAGTCTCAGTCACTTGGTCACCATTCCCCAGTTCCGGACCCGCTACTGTCCTTTTACCCAGCCCTCCCTCGCTGTCTTCTTCAGTTGCCTCTGCTAGGGACTGACCTGTCCCTTTACCTAAGTCATAGTCAGGTCGCCCATCTTCCCTCCAATTGGCCCCTCAGAGTTCTCAGGGTTTGCCCTTCCTTCCTGCCTTTGGACTGGCCCCAGTCCCCCTCTACCCTCCTTCACGCGAAGGCCTCTTCCAGGGGACTACCTGTCCCTCAGCCCTGAGGTCCCTCCATCCAAACGGGGTATTCCACCAGGGCATATGACCTACCCACCCAAAAACTGAAGGGGGCGTGGATGAGCTCTGTGACTCAGAATGCTACTTTTTAAATACTGTCAGTGTTTTATAATTAAAGGAACTCCGGGGTAAAGATCTTAAGAATGTGTCTGAGAGCCATGATGTGCATCTGCAAAATGTCACTGAAATTAGGAAAGAAGGCTGGACACAGTGGCTCACACCTGTAATCCCAGCACATTGGGAGGCCAAAGCAGGAGGACTGCTTGCGGCCAGGAGCTGGAGACCAGCCTGGTCAACATAGCAAGACCGCATCTCTGTAAAAAAGAAAAATGTTAGCTGGGCGTCGTGGCAAGCGCCTGCAGTTCCACCTACCTGGGAGGCTGAGGGAGGAGGATGCCTTGAGCTCAGGAGTTCAAGGCTGCAGTGAGTTGTGATCCTGCCCCTCCACGCCAGCCTGGGTGACAGACCAAGACCCCAAATCATTTAAAAAAAAAAAAAAATAATAATGCCTGGCGCAGTGACTCATGCCTATAATCACAGCACTTTGGAAGGCCAAGGCAAGCGGATCACAAGGTCAGGAGTTAGAGACCAGCGTAGCCAATATGGTGAAACTCCATCTCTACCAAAAATACAAAAATTAGCTGTGCATAGTGTAGCTACTCAGGAGGCTGAGGCGGGAGAATCGCTTGAACCAGGGAGGCGGAGGTTGCAGTGAGCCGACATCGCGCCACTGCACTCCAGCCTGCATGAGAGACGGTCTCAAATAAGGAAGGAAGGAAAGCAGCTGGGAGAGTGGTAAAGTGGGGGCAGAAAATTGTCCTATAAACCCTTTCCCAAATTGGGAAACTGAGGCCTGGGGTAAGCAAATGGACTTCCCCAAGGCCACACAAAGTGAGGCTGCTTCTGTCCTCCCCCCATGGTGAACGGCAGGGTGGGATGGGCAGGAAGTGGCCTCATAAGGGGCATGGGGAGGGAGGTTGGAGGGGGCAGGGATCATCCTGGCTGCGGGCCTGAGGATGCGGGAGCAGATGCAATGTGCAGGGCGGGAAGGCAGATGAGGGAAGGTGGGTTTCTTGGCAGAGGCAGGGGTTCTCAGCAGAGGACCAAATCTTCCTGGAGGGGCACCAGGGGCCGAGCACATCTCCATCCCCATCAGAACAGCCCTTCAAATCACTCGAGATCTTAGCATTTATAAAAACTGGCAGATTTATTCCGCAGGGGCCCATTTTCAAGAAGCTAAAGGTGAAGGTGGGAGGGGAGAAGTTTCCTCCCCTTTTCCTTTGTCCCTCATCTTATTTTCTCCAAGGGGTAAAAAAATGGCCTGGACCCCAAAACCTACCCAAATAAAAAATCAAAAAACTGAGGTTCCAAAAAGTTACAGCATCTTAATTCCTCATAGAAAAGGGGGAGGAGCCAGAGGGAAGAGGAGTCCCTGGGGTGGGGGGGAGGCACCCCCAGCCTGGTGAGACATCCCCTCCCCTTAAATAGCTGCCCCAAATGGGGCAAGGCTGGGGCTATAGCATTTAAAAACTCCCACACCCCATTTTATCAAAACCAAGGAGGAAAAAAAAAATTTCCCTTTTCCCCCAAAACCCAAATATATATATATATTTTTTTTCTTAAAAAAACAAAACTTTGAAGGCATTAAGCGTTAAAGTGAATCTAGAACAAGGGAATGTGAAATTCCCTCTTTCCTTCCCCTTTCCTGTGGGGTTCATTGGTGCATCCCTAGCAGAGGGACCGGCCCCAAGGGGATGGCAGAGGGGAAGGACCAAAGGGAGAAAAGGGCGGGGGCCTCCCCAGCCAATCAGCAGCCAATGTGGGTGTGGGCAGGGCGCCAGGGAAGCCACACCCCCTTGGAGGTTTCCAAGTGGGATGGGGAGTGGGAACAATGCATTCCTGTGTAGTCTTCAGCCAATTCCAAGTCAAGTAGAGGCAGGGAAAGCAGGGTGACAGGCAGGGTGTGCAGAAAGGAGAAGCGGATCTTCTGGGTCCCTGTGGTCAGGGAGAACCCCGCTTCCTCAGCTCCTGGACAAAGGCTGGAAGGAAACAGAGCAGAGGTCAGGGGCAAAGTCTCTGCCTCTTCCCTTCCAAAACAGGGCTCTTGTCTAGGGACATGATGCCTCCGAAGTAAGTAAATATTTAAGAACAAAACAAAACAAAACCACCTCACCTTCAATGATTTCCTCTTTCACTTTCTGCAGTTCCTTCTTCACCTCCTCCAGAAGCTCCTAAAATTAATGGGGTACAAGTAATCAGGAGGGGGTACCAGGACTTGCAGGAACCAATCTCCTTTTATTTTTTTGAGATGAGGTCTTGCTCTGTTGCCCTGGCTAGAGTGCAATGGCATGTTCACAGCACATTGAAGTCTCAACCTCCCAGGCTCAGGTAATCCTCCTGCCTTAGCCTCCCAAGTAGCTGGGACCACAGACAGGCACCACCACGCTCAGGTAATTTTTTTTTTTTTTTTTTTTTGGAGACAGAGTCTTACTCTGTTACCCAGGCTGGAGTGCAGTGGTGCGATCTTGGCTCACTGCAACCTCAGCCTCCTGGGTTCAAGAGATTCTCCTGCCTCAGCCTCCCAAAGAGCTGGGATTACAGGTGCACACGACCAGGCCCAGCTAATTTTTTTATTTTTAGTAGAGGCAGGGTTTCACCATGTTGGCCAGGCTGGTCTCAAACCCCTGACCTCAGGTGATCCACCCACCTTGGCCTCCCAAAGTGCCGGGATTACAGGTGTGAGCCACCGTGGTCGGCCTTCTTAGGTAATTTTTAAAAATCATTTTTTAGAGATGGGGTCTCCCTATGTTGCCCCAGGCTAGTCTTGAACTCCTGAACTAAAGCAATGCTCCCACCTCAGCCTCGCAATGTGCTGGAATTACAGACATAAGCCACTGCGCCTTGCCAGAGTCCCCTCTTTCTTGTTGATGGAAAAGCCAGAGGGAGTAGGTTTGAGACCTATGCCTACCCCAACACCATGACACGGCTGCCAAGGTTGCAGAGTGACTGGAGGATTCTCGGGGAGAATTCTGGGTCCTTGGAGCCGGAAAAGTACTGGAGAACATCCAGTACCAAGGTTGGCAAGTGCGTTCCAGCCCTCTGCCAACTCTAATTGGTGAGGGACAGCTGGGTCAATGTGTGGAAAGGATTCAAGGCACTCATCGGGAATGAGTGTGATGATAGAATATGCCTGTCACAGGTGCCAGAAAAGGGGGTGTGAGGTCAGGGTCATCCCTGATCCAATCCAGTCTGTCCATTTGTCAGACTGGAAACCTGAGGTTTCTGAGATGTTATCTAGGATCATACAGCATGCCAGTGGCAGGGGCCAGACCTAGATCTCTCTTGCTGTGGCCCCCAACCTCCTCCCCAAGCTACCTGTTTCACCCTCTCTAGGTCCGAGTCATCGCCGGAGCTGGGCGTGCAGGGGTGGGTCTCAGAAGTGGTCACTGAAGACGACGACTTCATCCTGGGGGAGTTGAGTTGGTGTCGTTTGGGACAGCAATGAGATTCAAGAGAGGACCTGTTTCCCCGCCTCCTATTCCAGGAATCGCATTGACTTCTGCCTTATAAATTGGGCAAGTCCAAGTATTTTGGGGGCCCGTTTGTTTTGTTTTGAGACAGAGTGGCATTCTGTCTCCCAGGCTAGAGTGCAGGCACAATGACGGCTCACTGCGGCCTCGACTTCCTGGACTCAGGTGACTCTTCCACCTCAGCCTCCCAAGTAGATGGGACCAAAGGCAAGTACCACCATGTTGGCTAATTTTTATAGAGATGGGGGGTCTCGCTATGTTGCCCAGGGTGGTGTCGAACTCCCCAACATGACCTCCCCAAGGACCACAGTACTGATGGGCCTACCTTGGCAAGGTTGTGCTGTTCTTCTCCCAGGGTCTCCGCACAGATTCTGGGGAGAGGCAACAAATCAGAAAAATCAGGGACAAAAGACTGCCCCTCAATCAGTCTTTCTCCCTCAACCTCAATAGCCCCTGTTCAAAGACCCATCTCAGGAGACTACAATCCCCAGCACCATCCGCCCAGACTCTCCCGAGAAGGTGCTTAACATGTGAGAAGAAGGTATTCTGGGATTTGTAGTTTCTGTGGCTGAACTGGGCTTTGACTCACCACTCTGGGCCGGGACTCTGGCCTCTGGCTCCTCCTGCTGGTGGGAAATAAAACTGCCATGAGCCAGCCCCTGCCACACCTCTGCCCATTTCCTCTTCCAGGTTCAAACCCCACACAGTTCAGTATCCCTACCCTCTTGGTACTGCCTAAGGGGTGTGGGGTGTAAGGCAAGAAAAACCCCTGACTTACATTGGCAGATTCATCCTTGGGGGTTTTCTCCCCAACCTGTGTGGCTTTCCTTCTGCAGTAGAAAAAAGCAAAAACACATGCTTCCATCACTCAACCAGTTCCCTTCCTAGGGAAGTTCCAGAAATGTGGATCCTATAGCATAGAATTATGAAATTTAGAAACCCTAAGGAAACGCTACATTTAGAAATTCAAGAGATTGGCTAGGTGTGGTGGCTTACACCTGTAATCCCAACACTTTGGGAGGCTGAGGTGGGTGGATCACTTGAAGTCGGGAGTTTGAGACCAGTCTGGCCAACATGGTGAAACCCATCTCTACTAAAAATACAAAAATTAGCCAGGTGTGCTGGCATGTGCCTATAATACTCAGGAGGCTGAGGCAAGAGAATCACTTGAACCCGGGAGGCAGAGGTTTCAGTGGGCCAAGATCATACCACTACACTTCAGCCTGGGCGACAGAGCGAGACTCCATCTCAGAAAAAAAAAAATCCAAGAGATTGCAGTTCTAGAATCAGGGTAGAGGTTCTACGATTCTTATATTAGGGAACAGTAAGATTCCGAGAGTGGCGCAGTGCTGTGTTAGAACATTGAGATTGTAGGAACCTGAGTTTCCAGAATTCAGAGGCAGTATCTCCTACAGTTCTAGAATTCTGGGTTTTAGAACATTCTACAGGCTACCTAGTGGTTGCAAGCCTCAGCCATTTCAGGAGATGACACACCCTACCATTATTTCCCAAACCTGGTTATCAAAGGGGAACATTCACTAAAAGAAACAAACTAAATGGGAATCCGAGCCCTCCCGACTGGGCCCTACTGAACTGGAATCTCCAGGTGACTCAGGGGTCCAGGCTCAGGCTCACCTCCGGGCCAGCATGGCGTTCATCTCTTCCATGAGCCCCCCACCTCCGCTTCGACCGCTCTCAGCTTTGGGGGCCACGGGCCCTGCTGAGGGTTCCTCCTGCTGGAGAAATTTAAAAGGAGCAGGAGCTTTAGGGGCAGGGCTTTGGGCCTTCCAGCCCTCCTGTGACACCGCCGGCAGCCCTGGCCTCATCCCCCATCAAAGCCCCGTCGCCCCCCTGGCCACCTCTCCCGAACCTCACCTTGCTGACTTTCCTGAGTTTGGCTCCAGCAATAGCTGCGGCCAGGCCTGGGGCCCCGGTCCCCCCACCACTGGGGCCCTGTGCTGCCGGGAGAGGGGGTGCAGGGGGTGGTCCTCCCCCGGCTCCGTGTGCTGCAGCTGGGACCCCCGAGGGGGGCAAACCTGGGGGTGGGGGAGGACCTGGAGGAGGGGGAGGTCCTGGTGGTGGGGGTGGACCCCCAGCAGGGGGAGCAGGTGGGCCTCCTGAAACAAACACAGAAAAGGGGGCAGCTGAGAGAAGCCTCCTCCTTTACTGTCCAGTTGGCTGGCCCCTTCCTCTAGGGAGGCCCCCTCCCAACTCCCGAGGCCATCCGAACATCACCTGCATTGGAGACACGGCGTTCTAGGTGCTCCGACGGGCCGGGCTGCTGCCTGTTGGGGAGGCGGGGAAGCTGCCGTCAATCAGGGCCCTAAAGATGGCCAGCGAAGGGTCTAGCGACCTCTGTCCTGTCTCTCAGAGGTCTCCAGGGAGGCTAGCTCCTAATCCTCACCCAAGCCTCCCTCTCCTAGGGAACCAAGAAGGGGGCTGGGCGGGAGTGGGGAGAATGCAGGGCAGGGCAGTGACAGGGAGAGATCAGGATGCGGGAACCCAGTCAGCAAACTGTCAGAAACACCCGAATTACAAAATGCCCAAGATTCTTTTTTTGTTTCTAAGACAGAGTCTCACTGTCACCCAGGCTGGAGTGCAGTGGCTTGATCTTGGCTCACAGCAACGCCCACCTCCCGGGTTCAATCCATTCTCCTAACTCAGCCTCCCGAGTAGCTGGGATTATAGGCTCACGCCACCATGCCCAACTAATTTTTGTATTTTCAGTAGAGACGGTGTTTCACCATGTTGAAACCTGAACTCCTGACCTCAGGTAATCTGCCCGCCTCGGCCTCCCGAAGTGCTGGGATTACAGGCGTGAGCCACCATGCCTGGCCACAAGATTCTTTCAACTACCATATTCTGCTTTCCAGGAATCTGCAGGGACCAGGAGGTTCTGCAACTCTGAGTGTCACAAGTTTCTTGAACATTGAGGAAACTGCCCGTTGGATGGGTTCTGAACTCTAGGAGTCAAGGGTTCCAAAACACATGGAACTCTGGCAGTGACTAAGGTTCCCCGCCCAGGGCCCAGCCCCACCTTTTCTGCTGCTCCACCTCCTCCGGGGAGGGGCCGTTGGGGACCGACCAGGCAGGAGGTGCTGGGGGTGGAGGGGGCCCACCTCCTGGAAGGTGAGAGAGAAAGGGCCACGGGTCAGTGCTGGAACTCTGCTCAGCCCTTGGCCCAGGAATCCTGCCCAGAGGCGCCCACTTCCTCCTTCCTGGGACCCTGAGGCTCCAGGCATCTTGGGAGGTAAGGCAGCACCAGCTTCCCTGGCCTGAGGGGCCCTAGGGCAGGTGCTGTTATGGTGTCCCAGTGACAGGAGAAGCTAAGGCCAGGGGACAGTAACTCACCCTAAAGTTCTGCAGGGTGAAATCTGCAGGAACAAGACCTGAGTTCAGGCTGACTCCGGCAGCCAGGCTCTTAACCACTGTTTGGAGACAGTCTCACTGTGTCACCCAGGCTGGAGTGCCGGGGTGAAATCAGGGCTCACCGCAGCCGCAGTCTCCCCAGGCTCAGGTGATCCTCCCACCTCAGCCTCCTGAGTAGCTGGGACTACAGGCGCATGCCACCATGCCCAGCTAATCTTAGTTTCTGTAGAGATGGGATTTCGCCATGTTGCCCAGGCTGGTCTCAAACACCTGAGCTCAAGCAATCCACCCGCCTCGGCCTCCCAAAGTGCTGGGATTACAGGCGTGAGTCACTGCACCTGGCCAGCTCTTAACCACTGTTCCAGGCACTTGGGCCTCTGCTAAGAACCTGGAAAGGTAAATGCTGCTTCCTCACCTGCCTCCAGGCCGCTGGCCCCGGCACCTGCATTGAATTAGTTACGAATTAACAATGAATTAGCCCCATTTTACAGATGACTAAACTGAAGCCCACTGCATTTTTCTGTGCCCCAGAGGAGCAAGTCCCTTCCGCAGTAGCACGGAAGTTGCCTCAAGAAGCAACGCCACTGCCCCTACATTTGGTGACTCCACTTCCACAGCAGCGATTCCAGGCCAGATGGACAACAATCACCTAAAACCTCGCTGCCCAGTGACAGGTCCTCAGACCAGCAGCCTCGGGATCACCAGGGCAGCTGTGAGAATGAGAAGTCTCAGTCCGCCCAGCCACCTGCACCGGAGCCTGCACTTTGACCAGATCCCCCAGGTAATTCATGTGCACGTTAAGGTATGAGAAATAGCAACTGGGAAGCCAGGTGCGGTGGCTCACACCTGTAATCCCGGCACTTTGGGAGGCTGAGGCGGGCGCATCACCCGAGGTCAGGAGTTTGGGACCAGCCTGGACAACATAGAGAAACCATGTCTCTACTAAAAATACAAAAAAATTAGCTGGGCATGGTGGCGGGTGCCTGTAATCCAGCTACTAGGGAGGCTGAGGCAGGAGAATCGCTTGAACCCAGAAGGTGGAGGTTGAGGTGAGCTGAGTTCTCGCCATTGCACTCCGGTCTGGACAACAAGTTCTAACTGTCTCAATAAAAAAAAAAAAAAAAAAAAAAAAAAAAAAAAAAGCAAGCGGGCTGGGTGTAGTGGTTCATGTCTGTAACCTCAGCACTTTGGGAGGCTGATGTGGGTGGATCACCTGAGGTCAGGAGTTCAACCCAGCCTGGCCAACACAGTAAAACCCCATCTCTACTAAAACTACAAAAAGTAGCGAGGTGTGGTGGTGTGCACCTATAGTTCCAGCTACTTGGGAGGCTGAGGCAGAACCACTTAAACCCAGAAGGTGGAGGTTGCAGTGAAACGAGATCATACGACTACACTCCAGCCTGGCAGACAGAGCAAGACTCCCTATTTTTTAAAAAGACAGAAAAGTAACTGGGCTGGGTGCAGTGGCTCCTGCCCATAATCCCAGCACTTTGGGAGGCTGAGGTGGGAGGATCACTTGGGCCCAGGAGTCTGAGACCAGCCTGTAGACCATCTCTACAAAAAAATTGTTTTAATGATCCAGGTGGCCAGGCGCAATGGCTAACACCTGTAATCCCAGCACTTTGGGAGGCAGAGGCAGGTGGATCACTGAGGCCAAGAGTTTGAAACCAGCCTGGCAAATATGGGGAACCCCATCTCTACTAAAATACAAAAAAATTAGCTGGGCACAGTAGCACATGCCTGTATTCCCAGCTACTCAGGAGGCTGAGGCACGACAATCACTTGAACCCAGGAGGTGGAGGTTGTAGTAAGCGGAGATTGCACCACTGCATTCCAGCCTAGGTGACAGAGCAAGACTTGTTGTCTCAAAAAAAAAAAAAAAAAAAAAAAAAAGCCAGGTGTGGTGGCGCATGC